AAACAAACAAAACATACTCAGTGCTAAAGAAACCGTAGCCACAAGCAAAATACTTGTGTTCTCAGTTTTTCGTGATCACAATTGAAGGAACACGGACGACTTCCAGTCTGCCAAGGGAAACAACTCGCAGAAATTGTAATAAACGCAAGAGCAGAAGGCTACCTCCCTTGGCTGTCAAAAAGAAGGTTTCCAAACGAGGATTTTACCTTGACACTGAGTGTTGTCACGACGGTAAAAAAATAATTAAAAATAGGGCATAATAACGGTTAAGAGTGTGACTACTCTCCGTATAAAAGTATTAGTTATTGTGAAACCCTGAAATCACGGGGAATCATAACATAACATATTTCACATTGAATTGTTGAGAGCAGTCAATTTGTTAGCAGAAATCATAGGCATCAATTAATTACTTGTGAAAGGTAACAAAATAAGGAAATGTAGATTCTATAATACGAAATAGAGAAAGAAAGGAACGGATTGAGTGGCACTTACCTTACATTTATGACATGATAGAAGATTTTGGAAAATTTTTTAAAGAAGTTTATGGAAAGAGTTAAATGTAACCCAAAACTGTTAGACATTAAAAACGTTGCTTTCATTACCTGAGAGAAAAATGATGTACGAAGCATTTAAAGAGAGGAGAGAAAAACTAAAACAGAAGAGACTGAGGTAGGGTGAGAACGAAAGAGGGACTAGAAAATGTACCTTTGTTGGGAGAGTATAGAGAAATGAATAATTACATGCACAACTTCAGGAGGAAGACAAAAAGATTGTGTTGGGAGGGGAAATGTTCCCACATAGAAGCTTAATCAATACTTGTTGCATTACAAACACAACATCAAGCAAGTACTGTATGATCCCTAAAAGTAGTAAAAGAGAGGCTGATACTAAATCAATTTAGTTTTCGAATAAATGATAGTGACTGGGCAAAACAGCACTGTTTAACTCATAAAATCGGTCGGGCAAGAAGGTGGGGTCAGAAATTAGCAATTGTAAGAGAACAAATGGACAAACCAAAAAAAAACTACACACAAACATTCACCATCACAACAAGTATGTTTGATTGAAAATAGAGACTAAGAAACAAAAGTTTACCTGTTCCTAATGACAACACAAGAGAAAGTCGTAGAAAAAGACAAGACATAGTCAACAAGGAGACAGACAAAATGAAATGAAACAGTCCTACCTTCTGGACAATGTGATCAAAGTTAATCCCGAGCTCTGCGGAGAACAAAACCCCAATATCGATGAGTCAGTCTCCACAGCTGTTCAACAACAACTTCAACAACAATAATATTAATAATGATATTCATAATAATCGTAATAATAATAA